TTAATTACAGAACTTTTAACATTTTTTATTGACGCCTCTGTGATTATAGCGCACGGTGCATGGGCAGCTCTCGCACCCCCTAGACACGACCTTGGCCTTAGACATAGTAAAAATGCTTCTAATTCCACCTTCGGTACGAAGTTACTAAGGAGTTAAGTGTCCTAAGTACAACGGTTAAGGTGAGAGGCCGGGGAGGAACCGGCTTCCTCTTCTTATTTAAAGTCAAAAAAATCCGGATTCTTTGATTTAAGCATTTGTTCCCAAAGAAACGTTCTATAGTAATTTTCACTGCATAAGTAAATAGGCATCTAATATGAATTCAACTATTTTCAATCAAAACCTAAAATAAGTTTTATTAAAAATAAATTCTTTAATATTGACTTGATTTGTAAAAAATTACATATTTTTTTTTTTCTATATAGCTGTCATTGTTTTGTATGGACATTTTTTAGATACAATTTACGTACAAACCCTTGGAAATATTTTCTTTTGAAAATTTTATATTAGATTCTAAGTGAAGGATCTATTGGTTTTACTATGATGTGTTTTTTTTTTGTCCGTAAAAACAACTTTTTTCCTAGAAATCTTGCTCCAATCAAAACATTACAAGTGGGCTTTTTGTTCAACTTTGGCTCTAGTTGGTATTTTAGAAAGTTTATCTTAAATTCTGAGTGGAACGAGGAATGTATTGATATTACAATGATGTTTATTTTTTTTATTTTTTTTTTATGCGAACACATTTTCTACCAAAGCATACTCCGATTATCAAGTATAGCACTTATTCTGAAAGGAAATGTTCTCTGGGTGATACCTCAACAAGGTAATTTTTTTGAAATTCTCATTAATATACGAGACAATAAGGAAAACCTGATTATTTAGGTTAAAAATGATTAAAAGATTAAAAATAAAGTTGTCATTGGCAACCATTTTTGTTTATTTTTTGTTATTATTTAGTTTTTATTACTTTAATATTTTTTAAACAATCATTTTTGTCATGGAAACGCTGACTGTTGTAATCATGACATACATTGTTGACTAAGCAACACTATCAACTGAACTCCGCTCAGAATCGTTTTTTCGTTAGCAATGGTTTATCGTTGCTTACCAGATGTACATTAAATTTCCGTCTGTATCCTACCTTTCCAACTTCTTACCGAGAACAGTGGCCACACCGTCCCTAGTATAAGCTTTTTTTTTTTTGTTTAAACCCTAAAGGCCACAATTTACGTTCCAAGAACCGTAATTTTGCTATGTATAGTCCTTTAATGAGACTGAGGCGGTAGATACGAGCGTGGAATCCTCTTAATTTAAATAAAAAGTGCGATTCGACCGTCCCTGTTAAGACACCGCAAAAGCTTAAAATAACGATAAGATTAGCTGTATTTAGCAATTTACACTTATTACACGTGCCGGGTGGAACATAACAAGCAACCGGGTGTTATTTCGTGTGCGGAACGGTCATAAGCCTCTCTGTTCCAGACGCGGACGTGTCTTTTATACACCGTTCAAGCGATTTATCTTCCGGATTGCGCCTATCTGCAGTGCTGTTTCCTCCCTCTCTGTAGACTCTCTCTCTCTCTCTCTCTCTCTCACTCACTTACGGTATCTCAGCCACATCCTTTTAATTTATCCTCGCGCACAGACTCGTATATATAATAATACACGCACAGACGCCGCCGTTTTTAAAAGGCTCGTGACGTTAATGACCGTGGCCGTGGTTCCGTTACCCCCCCCCCCCCCCTCGTACTTTTTTCACATTATATAGGTACTTTTAATGGATCGACGTCAAAAACGACGTGACGCGGAGGGAAGGGAAAGACTCGTAAAAACACCGCATATCCCGATTAAATACGAGAAAATTAAAATTAAAAAAAAAAAGTGTTGAAATTCGTGCTGCTCGCCCGTTCGTTCGTTTTACGGCCGATTCGGTTTTTTATTATTGTATTATATATTATCATCACGCGTATATTAATATACGCGCGTGAACACGCGTTTTATTTTTATGTCGGTTTTTTTTTTTTAAATTTTTTTAGTGTCGCACGTATACCCAATAAAACGCGACGATAAAAAAAAAAAAAAAACAATAATAATAACATAATTTTATATATATATTATATCCCCAGATGTTTGGACGTGAAAGCTTATAATATCGATACGAATCTCGGTTTATACGGGCGAAGTTATATAGGCACCGGAAATAAATTCACAGCCTGCATTATATTGTGTCATGGTGTATACCGTTTTGCAGCGAACGACGCTCGAGTCGGTTTATTGCCCGACGCCGCAGTACTTATTTCGGTTTAACGATTACATATTACTACGGCGAGAAACACTTATGTCCGTAAAATATTATACGCGATTATATTATTATTGTGACTGCGTCATATATATATTTAACGATTTCGGGAGAAAAAAAAAAATTTCGGGAAAAAAAAAAAAAAACACATACACGCGTATACCGAAACGCGTGCGATATAATTATTACCGTACTTGTCTTCGGCTTCTCGTGCGGTTTATTACGAGTGCATAACGTACGGTAAATCGCAATTGAATTCCGTACAGGGTGTTTCGATTGTTGTGAAACGTCTCGGAAAGCGCGAACATTTTTATTTTCGACTATACATAGGTCGCCATCATCGTTTGGAAACCGAAACACGGTGGGGGGGGGCGGTCGTTTTGTCCCTGAAAATAATGGTTAACGTACGTTACCGCCAGTAACATTCTGAAACTACTTTAATATCTGAAAAAAGTTAACACTGGGACACCCGATATTTTGATTTTGCACAATATAATAATATACTCCGAGTTACGTTCAGTAAAATGCCTATAATCTTGTTGTGAAACGTCGTGGCGTCATATGCATAGACACACGCAGAGTGTCCCACGGAGACCCGGCCATAACTCGCGTTTTGTTCGATGTTTTTAAGTTTTTCTCTTTTGTAATAATATTAATAAAGCCTCGCGCCATGGTTCACATATTATACTATATATTTTATAGGTAACGTAAAATTATTATAATTATTGTTTTTGATTTTTTTTAACGAAGTCGTTAATTTTTGTACATATTTTTTTGAACATTACGAGATTTTAAATTATTTTCATCGCCACTACTAAATAACGTCAACGGATTCACTAAATTTCCCATGAAAAATGATTTATGTAAATTTCAAACAATTTTAGAAAATTAATGACTCGTCATCGGTAAATAATTTGTAACACCAAACTTATGTTACAAAACATTCGTATAAAATGATGAAGTTGGACTTTCTAAAAAAAAAAAAAATACATAAAATAGAAGGATCGCGGCTGATCGAAAGTGTCTATACTATGTGTACTGTTGGTTGGTCATATTTTATAAAACGAGATTTTTTTTTTTATAGTGTTGCACAAGTACCGAACATACGAGTAGACATGGACAAATTTATGATTATTGCGCAGCGGCGATAGTTATTTTCATCGTTTTCAATAAAAAAAAAAAAAAAACCGTCCGTTCTCATTTGAAAATACACGTTTTAATTATATTCGCCTAATGTATACAATACAGTATCGGCATTAACGGCATTCCGTCCATTAGTTTCGAAACAATAATCGCCGTTAGCGAATATAATAATAATTATTCAAATTATGAACCGCCACAAAAATACAAACCACTGTTTTCACGGTGCATATTATTAATCAAAAACGGAACTTTTCGAAAAACTTTGATTAATGACAATAACACACCGTGTAAATACAATAATTAATAGGCGCATCATTAATAAGTTTGAACGGCGTGTAATACAACATAATTTAAATTAAGTAAACAATGCATTAAAAAACATCGCTATCGCCGTGTCAAATAAATAATATTCATTGCCGCGGTACGTAATAATATTATTAAGTACCCCCTATCCCCCCCCCGTCGCGTTATTATTTTAAACGGTTCCATTATTATTATAATATATTATTAACGTGTCGCCGAACGTTCGTAAATTATCGTAACGCACAATATTAACGTCGTAACCGTCATTATTATTATTATTTTTATTATTAACTGTTATTATTTTATTTTGCTTTTATTTTTTATATTTTATTTTTAAATTCCAACACACGTATATACGTGTACATAACTTAATAGTTCGTTATCGGGTTAGGTATTGCTCGTTTTAAATAATATAGAAATATTGATTAATTATAATAATAATACGAAAAAACCAACAATAAGTGACGGTTTTCCCCGAATTTTCCTAGGTTTAGTAAAATTTGATTTGTTTTTTGTATACATATTTTAATGGCGATATTTTATACACACAAGATTCGTTTAAAAAAAGACACAGTTTATCCGTTTGTTATGAAAACCTTTGGGAAAATGACTTTCTCAAAGTACCACTTCAATCAGATTTCCTTTCAGAAAAAGTGCTATACTTTGAAATCGGAGCAACATTTCCAGTAGAATAGTTGTTCGCGGATTAAAAAAAAAATAATAATAATAATAAAAAAAAGAAAAAAAGAAAAACATCATTGTAAAACCAATGCATTCCTCGCTCCGGCTCAGAATATAAAATTTAAAAAATACCTATCTATAAAGTTTCTCCGGTGGCGTACGTGGCTGTCATGTCAGTGCCAGTGCCGTACATTTCACCAGGAATGCATAGAGAAACGCGTCGAAATAATATTATAGCAGATAATCCCGCGAAACAGATATGGTGTTACGGAAAGTTAATACGCGGGAACAATAGAATAGCAGTTTTAATTGGTCCGAAACGTCCCACGATTTGGCATCTGATGGAAAAAAAAAAATAATAAAATAAGCAACCTCGGTATTCGTACGTATTATTATAGCCGCCGCAGCAGGTAATATATTGTGCTATAAATTAACATTTCTAGTATATCGGAGATTCGCGGGAGAATGCATTTAATGCATAGGTAATAATATTCGTGTATACCTTATTTTTTTCCGGTTTAACAGAGTTTCTAATTAATCATTTAATCATCTTAGATTGAAAGAGGTGTATTACGATATGAATACACGGGCCGGTATTTTGATTGGAATACACGAGAGTGGAGGAAAATGTCTGATGATGAACAAGAGCTGGAAGAACAATAATTGTTCTTCTATTGTTCGAACGACAAGACATTATGAACGAAGTAAATTACAAAAACAGCAAGAATTAGCGGTAAACGTCGGTATGCCGGCTAAAACTTCGTTGAATGGCCTCGAGAGCCATGAAAAAAAACCATACAAAAAATGTTGAACTCAAACTATGCGGTTATTATAACGACATTATTATGCACGTGTTCGCGACCAACTAGATTCCGAATTCGGGATCGGGATTATGTGAAAATCAGACCGGTGACCAACTATTACACATGATTTTTTTGAAAAAAAGAGCGATCCAATGAAATAGAACCGATGAGCAGATAGTTTGAGGGCACATCCCGCGAACGAATTCCAGCCAAACAATTTCAACAAAAATCATATCTACGTTTACGATTTAAAAAAGAAAATAAGCCAATGTGGGAATCATACACCCATACCGCTTCTTAATCCGGACTTGGCCCCCTCCCAACGCGTATACCCAAACATTCTTATAACGGTGTTTCGGTGCCAAGTATATCGATTTTTTCAAAATTATAAACCCCTGTACAGTAGGTATTCGTCGTTGTTGATTTAAAAAAAAAAAAAAGTATAAATATGCAATTGATTAAATTCGATGTCTCTACACTTACCGCAACTTTTCTATACTTTGATTTTATTTAAAAACAGAAAAAGATAGGCAATATATATCAAAACTATTAGACTGCTGCAGACTGTAAATAATAATAATAATAATAAAATACTGCGATTCGCTGTCATCAATTATCATATATTACATCTATATATGTAGGCGCGTATTGTGTATACATATAAAGCTAGTGTACTATGTTAGTTTTGTTCGTATCAACAAAAAGGATATACTTTTTTTTTTTTTACATAGAAATTACACTGCAGTCGACACCTACACATTTGATGGAATGTGACTGGTATGAGTAGCGTGACCCTTATCAGAAGCGTATACTTTTTTTTTTTTTTTTTTAAACGAACATGGCTATTAATTTTTATACAATTAATTATTATTCCATCGTATTAATACGTATTATATTATGTTCAATGATTTATGGTTTCGTATAAAAAGGTAAATACTACAATAAAAACAAACAAACCATAGTATTCTATTTGATTTATGTGTACAACCTGAACTAATATTATTTCGAAATTAACCAACAATATATATAATTTATTAGATATATATATATATTTAATTTGTAAAATATTACGTATTTTATTTACGGAATATATTTGTAGAGAAATATAAATATCAATTTATAAAAATAAAAAATAAAGGCTAATACTGTTGATGAGCTTGCTACCGTTTTAAGAAGAAAGTTGGAACCGAGGTTAGGTTATAACAGAGTAATTTAATTTACATCTGCACGCAACAATAAACCGTTGCAAACGATTTTGAACAGAGTATTATTAGTTATATAATTTGCCTCGTTATCATATTAATTATTAACCTATACATCGATAAAAAATATACTACACATTGCCAGTTTGTCCCATTTTTAAGAAAACTACAAAGAAAATCAAAAAACTATCTCTGAAATTCGTCAGCTCGATCTATAAGAATATTCTTATACAATTTCTGATTAAGTTTATTGGTAAAAAAGTTGTTTGCATGCGATAAAAAATATGGAAAAAAAAAACTCAGCATAACAAAATCAATACGTTCCTCGCATGTCGTTCGTAAAAATCACGAACGATCGTTTTTTTATTTACAATGATTTTTTTCTTGTACATTTTGCAGAAAAGTAAATATATAGGTAATTAGGTTAAACTATATTATAACATTTACACATTATATATACGTTTTATTATACATTTTGACTGGGTATGGAAATTGATGGGCATTTTATTTCTGCATATGCTTTATAATATTATTTCCCTTGATGTGTGCCTACGAAATATCTACGAGGAAACGGACGCGTTGCAAATGGATTTTAGCTGGGAATGGAATAATATTTTAAATATCTGTAATTAATTAAATCCCACGTTAGTAAAACAGATACTAGGCCACTGTATACTAAAATATAATAACTAGCACTGAACTACAGAAAGAAAAAAAAAAATAATACTGTCTAATAATTACTATCTATCGTAGCCCGTAGGTATATTATAAACGTTTTATTTAGTTTAATAAACGAGTTTTAATGAAGTACAACTAAATAAACTAATGCATATAAATTAATAATTATATATTATATTTTTTTTTTTTTTTTAAATCTGACGCCGATTAAAAAATTCGTGAAAACAAATTAATTTAGTACCTAAGCTATATACTTTAAGAATGCAGAATCAATAAAAAACCTTACAGGTATAATAAATTATTATTATTTTTTATACATATACTGTTATATTTTTATTATTCGCGATACATTAACCTTTGGCTATATATGTATATATATATATATACTACGAGTACACCGATAATAAATTAAAACATATTTTCTAGCCTTTTTTAAGGATATTTATTTGATCAGTTTAACCTCGTAATAAACACCACTGTACACGTCATATACTTATTCGAGCAATGTTCAAATTTGTAAAACTAAAAAGTACTGAAATATGTGTGAATAATGCTGAAATATATTAAATTTGTTTGTATTTTTTCAACTATTTTCATTGAATTTAAAACGAATTCATAAAAAAAAAAAATTAAAATAATTTAACATTATATAATTAATGTCATTTTTAACAATTAATAAAAATATTACCAACCAAAACTTGAAATTAGCACTAAAAGTCGAATAAGCTTATTCAAATATTGAAAAACTAATAATGTTTTATGTATTTATGGAATCCCCGGTGCTTAAAATAAATGTATATTTCACTTTGCTACTGGGTTCTAAGCACGGTAAGGAGGTTTAACTGTGATGTGTGTTTGTTTTTAGGGGAAACAACCTGTTTAACCTGATTTAAACGAGATACGTTGCTCCGATTTTCAAATGTAACATCTTTTCTGATGTTTTTAGATTTTTCTTGCCGTTATCTTAATCATTTTGGCCGAACAAAAATGCTTTGAATTTTACACGAGGTTCGTTATAAACTGTATACAGTGGTAAAAAAATAGTTCTGCATGATATAGACGGTATTTGATTTTATACACGTTTAAAGTTCAAATTTGAATAGAAATCGTAAAAATCACGGCATTTCAATACATGTTCAACTGAACTCGGCTCAGCATCGTATTTCATTAGCGATATTTTAACATTGCGTACAGATATAAATTAAATAAGTATATTTACCGTATACCTGCCCGTTTTCACACCTATATCAGTGACACACCCGTCAGCAGTATCAACTCTTTTTCACTATATTTTTTTTTTTTTTTTTAGCAAAATTCTGTAAAAAAAACCCCCCGGCTTATAAATCAAACAAACACTCTGAAACATAATGTAATATTTCTATAATGATGTTATTCACAAATAAGATGTACAAGTTTTTAAATTGTTGATCAATTTTTTATGATAAATAACGACAAGATCCCAGAGATATTGGTTTAGTATGTATTATATATTTTGTTCAAGTATTTATGTTAACGCGTAGTGTACGCCATAATATATATTTTAAATATTAAAAAAAAAAAAAGGAAAAAAAAAAGCAAGTATCATAAATAATTATTTTGACCCGAATTAGCATACATAATATTATAATCTTCGTATATATAATTAAAATTTATACACTTATGTCCGGAAATTTCGTCGAGTGTACTAATTTATTAATGTAAAGGGGTGTGCGTAACATGTTTATAAAAATATATAATATTATACAAAGAGTTGACACGACCGGATTTCAAACACGTTATAATATTATTAATCTCACGGCGGCGATCGAAAGTTATGCTGCTGCTGCGAAAAAAAAAAATCATCGTTATAATATAATATGAACCGAAATTCGAGAATTGTTTTAATTTTAGATTTAGCTCGCCGTACATATTATTATAATAAGCGTGTCGTTTGTTTTATATCCAGAAAAAAAAAAAAATATTTTTTTTTGAATATTGTTGTTTTTTTTTCTTCTTGCGAAACGGCGAATCGGAAATTTTACACATTCTATTATGTATACGAGTTCGTGCGCCATCCAGCAATATGATTAAAATGTAAATTTTCGCACCCGAAATCACGATAACGAGATACATTTACAGATAGATAAATATTATAAAAACGGGATTTCGCGTTTTAATAATCAAGTGGCATTACCAAAACCGAAGGTAGGTGCATACGCATTTTTTCGGGAAAAAAATTCTGACCGCCAATTGCATACTGATGAGTTTTTTTGAAACATGCTAAAACGCATTTGTTATACACGACGAGAGGCAATGAAAAACGTTGCGAAATTAATATTAATATATTATATTCTGACAGTTTCTTCCAATAGTGAAATAGTTTAACATTACACCGGGAAGCATGGACTTATTATCTAGTAGTAGCATTGAGCACGTCTCGTATAGCTCGATAATCAGATCTGTGCAAAAAGCGGTATCTGGGAAGAAAAATAAAATTTTTATGTTTTTCTATAACGCCAGTGATTTATTGAATTCGTGTTTATCACACGTACATCGTGAATTGTCCTCGTGTATTATCTGTACTGCTTCTCAATGGAGAAAAAGAAACAATTATTCTCTTTCTCCGATGTCTATTTTTGCTTATCAGACGTCGTCGTCTGACTAATATTTACGCGAGGCGCGGTCCGCTAGTGAACACGTCCATAGTTTTTACAGTTTATAGTCCAAGTCTACTGTCTTTTCTACCGACAGCGTCAGGCGGCGACTGTCGGTAACCTCTTCCGACTTCTGCGGCGAAGATAGTTTTGGTGAACAGTCAAACAAGTTTTCGTGGGCCTCACGCTCGCCGTCCTGCCGTTCGTTTCCAATAGTGTACATCTAAGTCGGTGGTTTGAACCGAGACGGCAAATATGAACACACGGTTATTAATTGGAATTCGAAGCGAATAAAACGCAAAGCCCGTAACGGAACGAGAGCTGCAAGTGTCCAAAGGTGCGGTGGGAAAAAACGACGGGAGCAGACGACCGGAAAAAAAAAAAAAAAAAAACCGAGAACGCACGTTTTTCGGGGGACTGTTGAGCCGGTATTTTCCGGACCAGGTCCGGCCAGTGATCAGTGTCCGAACGACGGCGCCGCGCATAACATTTGTT